ATCCTTCCTTTCGTTTCCTCGATTTTGGCGTACTCGAGGAAGGAAGATTCTGCATGAATCTAGTAATGTCTTTGTTTAGTGCTAAGATATTGTTTCGAACCCAGGCCTAATGGCCGTGTGCTTACTACAGCGGGCTCGGTTATGACCATCTGTTTATCAATAAACGGACGTTCGCATTCGAAAAAACCAGTTTGACGGCGACCTCAAAGATTTGACGCGATCCAGGCAGAGCCTCCCTTTCTCCTCCTTGCTCAAGAAGACAAAAGGAGGGTCTGCTCGCAGGGTGCTGTCGGATTTCCTGTCATCAAAAACGGTGTTAGTTCCAGTGAAAATTAAAAATGTGTTACATTCCTTCGAAAAATAAAACTCCTGCTGAAGACGGTTTCTCCAAAGAATTCTATGAAACTTTCTTTGACCATTTAAAACAGAATCTACTTGATTCGTATAATGAAGCTTTTCAGAAAGGCAGTCTCTCAGTATCCCAGAGAAGAGGAGTAATTTCTTTTAAAAATGACTGCGACCTGTCAGAGCTTACTGGATGGCGCCCAATAACGTTCTTTTACCTTCTGCTGTGTATTAATGATGTTAATATGTTGTCAATAAAAAAAATCGTTGAGCATCGTCGACATATCTCACTAGGGAGCTTTAGCATCGACGACGGCAACGGCAGCGAAAACGTCAGTTTTAAAATAAATTCCCGTTTTTTCAATCTTCGTCGCGTTTATTCCAATTTGCTGAAAATGGCAACTGTAGGCGAATTTCCCTGGAGTTGATTTCTTGAGGACCGCACCCAAGTTTAGATAGAGAAAAAGAGATTCGTCGTCGGTTTTTTACGTCCTCCATAAAACTTGCAATTAAACATTTTCACGTCGTAGTCGTGCAAGGACGGTAAAGAAATGTACAAAAAAGCGTGATGCACGTGCAAACTTGTTGTTTTGCTAATATAAACCTATTGCTTCTTTGACGTCCTCGTTGCCGTCGCCGTCGTCGTTGCTAATGCCCCCTTTACTCCTCTTTGGTGGATAGGTAAGGATAGTTTAGGGATAGTCTATGACGTCACCCATTGTTTTAACCTAGAGAAAAAATGCGTTCTTCCATACTAATTAAGTGCCTTCCTCCATATATAATGAAGTGGATGGGTTTACTAATGAGCGTCTCTCTACTACAATAGGCACAATAGGCTTCGTTCGGCTTGCCCGTTAAGTAACTTGAGCCCGGTTTTCGGATCGTCTATTAAAAGGAAAATAGGAGCGATCACCTAGCAACGCGAGAAACGGCTTCCTATATCTTATCTAGCGCTAAACCCAGATATATAAACAAAACACATACAGAAAGAGGAGTTGAAAGCATTTTTCCTCTAGGTTAAAACAATGGGTGACGTCATCCTTACCCATCCTTAAACTATCAAGAGGAGTAAAAACAACATAGTAGACTACTGTCCTCATATAACACTTCAGATATTGTACAGGGTGTTTCAAAAGTTCGTTCCGATTTTTTATTCGCTTAAATTTCAATAACTAGTCATAGTTGACACTACAGCTGCCCCTGCTCTGTATATAGTATTCTTGCTCCTTGTGTAGCTCTTTGAAATATACCGATATTCCATACAATAGGTGAGATAAATACAGGAAATAAACGCTAGGTTCCATGCACAGTTTCCGTTCGATTTACAAACCTTTGATCAAAACATAATCACTCTCAGTTTCAAGAATAGTTTATTCTAAACCATAAAAAAAGATTTAATTAGAAGTTTAATTTTTCGCTATTTCTATTTCACTTTTTACATTTAGTCCATTTCATTTGCCGGAAAGTAAGCCTTAGGAATTAAAAGGACGTTTGATCAATTCACGCTCGCGCATTCTAGTCTTATTTTAAACTTTATAGCAGAAGGACATCTGTGAGCAGGGAATAAGTCAGCACAGAATTTGATGGTCGGCGAATTTTTGTAATCGTCCATCGTTCTGCTAGTGATAAGCTAGCCGTTGAATCATTCACTCGTCTTGCTTGTTTTGGGCCGAGTCTTATTCCAGTCAAAGAGAGAGAGAGTGTGTCTGGCAAGGTTCAAATGAAGGTTTCCAGTCAAAGATTTGTGAACTCGTGTCTGGCAAACTCACTCAGTGTTAAAATATACGCTGTTCTACGCACCTTATAACTTCATCTGCCCTTAACGAATGTCTTTTGGTCCATAACTTTCATAACCTGAGATAGAGAGGCTCTATTTTCGTTCCGCTTTGAAAATTACATTCCGGCGGGCAAGGTGAAACGAAAAGAGAGCCTGATACAAACCTTCTACTAAACGTCTGCCGCTTACTTTTTTGATCGATTGACATTTGCCGAATCAGCCAACCAAAATTACTTCCGTTGCTTGTTTTTCTAGTATGCAAATTTTTCACGCGTGGGAAAAATGCAGACTGGCTGTTAATTTTTTCAGCTAAAAATAAAACAGTCAGCACAATCAGATTTAACTTCTTGCGAGACTAAGGGAGATCTCGAAGGTTATTTCTGTTGGCGTAGAGGGTAAAAAGTTTTCGAAAAGACGGCGACACGGTGTTCTACTCAGTCATTTCTTATAGTCCTCTTATAGTCCGCAGTTAAATGTGTTATTAGATTGCTTAAAGGAAACTTAAAGATCTGTTGTTTTGGTTTTGGTTCTACTGGACCTGTCTGCTGCTTGACACAGTTGATCATTCTCTTCTCCTTGCTAGACTATCTACCCGTTTTAGCATTTGTGACCAGGCACTGGACTGGTTTCGTTCATATCTATCTGATCGCACTCAGTATGTCAGAATCCAAGATGTCTCTTCTGATGTGCATGCCTTACCTTATGGAGTACCTCAGGGTTCCGTGTTAGGCCCCTTGCTGTATTCTTTGTCCACTTCCCCCTTAAGTTGATATTGCAAGATCTCATGGTCTATCTTATCACTTTTATGCTGATGATATACAGCTATACTTATCTTTTGAAACGTCATCGCCTGAGGATTTGTCAACATGTAAATCTGCTCTTGAAGATTGTGTTAAAGATATTGACCGTTGGATGTTAAATAACAAGCTGAAGCTGAACAGTGGAAAGACTGAAATTATAGTTTTTTCATTCTCCTATCGCCCACGTCCTGCGTTAAAAAACCTGGTGATTGCCTCTGACACTGTTGACTGTTCAACTACTGCTAAAAATATTGGGGTTATTTTTAATAACTCTCTATCGATGTTGCCTCACGTTGCTGCTGTTTGCAAGTCTTCGTTTTTTCATTTACGCAATATTTTTAAGATTCGCAAGTTTCTTTCTTATGATACATGTAAAACTCTAATTCATGCCTTTGTTACTGCAAGGATCGACTATTGTAACTCATTGCTCTACGGTCAGCCTAAATGTATCTTATAACGTTTACAAACTGTCCTTAATAGTGCTGCTAGGCTTATTCACCTTACTAATAGATATGAACATGTTACGCCGTTGCTAATTCAACTTTATTGGCTACCAATTGAACAAAGGATAACTTTCAAAATTGCAGTAATTACATTTAAGGCACTTCATGGTGCTGCACCTAGCTATATCACTGATCTCATCAAGCCTTATACACCTCGTAGACTTCTTAGATCCTCTGATCAATTTTTACTTTCTACATCTAAATTTAATCTTAAAACTTATGGTTGCCGGTTTTTTACTATTACTGCACCTTCTGTTTGGAATGCACTTCCATTCGAACTTAGATCTTGTAATTCCCTTTCTTCTTTTAAATCTAAGCTTAAGACTTGGCTTTTTAAAATTTGTTATGATGTTGTTGTATAGAATGATGATGTTTTTATAGGATGACAATGAAGTTTTGTAGGTTTAGGATTTTGTCGTTTTTTCATTATGTAAAGCGCTTTTGGACCATTGGGAATTTTTATAGGATAACAATGTAGTTTTGTAGGTTTAGGATTTTGTCCTTATTTTTATTATGTAAAGCGCTTTTAAACCATTGGGAATTAGCGCTCTATAAATATTGTATATTATTATCATAGTATATTAAAGATCTTTGTTAGTAAATCAACACATTACAGAATGCGTTAAATGAACCTCTCAAGTTAATTAAGAGTGAAGTATATTTTTATTGGGTAATCTTGCGTTTATTATAAATAACTCGCTCGCGTTTAATTAAACTTAGCTGCGGACAAAGTCTGCAACTAAAATTGTAACGTGTTGAAAAAGTCTGCAAATAAACTATGTCATAGTCCTTACATGGTCCCTACACAAAAAATCCAAACCATCTTAATTAACTGCTGCTCGTGAATCGAATTGTAAAGCTAAAAAAGAATTAATGGTGCGGCAATGAAGCCTTCCGGATTATTTTGCTTCAAAGACACAAAAAATTTCGCTGCGTTATTATTGTTCTTAGCGGCCTGCAATAAAAACTTGGGATGGAAATGATACACCCGACGATTGGTTGAAGACGGGATGAGCACAAGACTCAAAACATGCACACAGCTCGTGGATTCTCTGATCTGTATCACGTATTCGCTGGAAAACAATGCATTCTCTGTTCTGCAGTACGTCATGGTTGCCTTACATTACTCTATGTTACATCGATTTGAGATTTTTTCTGCCCCTGGAACAATTGTGACGTGTTGAAAAAGTCGGCAAATAAACTGGGTTGAAATGCGTGTCACTGTAGCTTAGTTCTAAGCACATTGATTTACTCTGTAATCGATTTCATCGGGATTTCATTGTAATTTCGTCGTGATTGCATCGTGATTTTGTGCGGACATTAATTCTTAGTCAGTCATCACTACATTTCATAAAGTCCTCTTGTAGTCCCTATACAAATAAAAATCTTTCGTTAGGTCTTAAATGCAATATCAGAGAAATAAGTAAACTTACTGCTTGCTTGCTAGCTGTTTATGAAGGATAAACATGTAACATGAGGGTGCTATGTGATTTACAACACTTGCCTATTTAAAGGCGCATTATCCTGATCAGATGTATTCATTTCCCTATTTAGCGGGACAATACATGGTGTATCATGTCGCAAAAACTCATTGCGTCCTATGTTGATCCTTCCAAACCTGGTTCTTTAAGAGATGTTCGGACTTTTGCAAATGCACAAGGCATTTCACCTATCGAAGCTCAGAAGCAGTTGGAGCAGACTTTAAGTTATACCTTACACAAACCACGCCGCCGTCGTTTTCTTACCTTACCTACCATGGTGTATGGTATCAATGAACAATTTATGATGGATTTGGTGGATCTCCAGAAATTAGCCAAATGGAACAAGGGCTACAAATATTTACTGACCGTGACTGATGTGTTATCCAAATATGCTTGGGTGGAACGGTTGAAACGTAAAAGTGCCACAGAACTGGTCGCTGCTTTAGCGCTGCTTTAGAACGTTTATGGAAACGTTTAGGAACTCGACATCCTGAGAAAGTACAGACGGATTCTGGCAGTGAGTTCTATAATTCCAAGGTGCAAGCATTTTTCAAGAAACAAGGAGTCCATCATTTTTCTACGCATGGTGATCCTCATGGCTCTGTCGTGGAACGCTGGAATCGAACATTGAAAACAAAAATGTTTCGTTATTTTACGGCTAAAAACACACTCAAGTATATTGATGTGTGACCGGCTTTAGTCAAAGCGTATAATCATTCCTTTCGTTCTAGTATTCAAAAGAAACCTGTAAATGTCACCAAAGAAAATGAAAATGAGATTTGGTATCGTTTGTATGGGAAGTACAAGGGAGAAGTGGTCAAAAAGACCAAATGTAGTGTAGGGGATAAAGTAAGATTGAATAAAAAAATTTCGTCCTTTTAAGAAAGGCTATCTGCCTGGTTGGACGGAAGAAGTGCTTTTAGTGCAACAGATTTAAACCACCAAACCTGTAGTCACGTATAAACTGACGGAATGGAATGGCACACCTCTAAAAGGCACGTTTTATGAAAAAGATGTTCAAAAAGTGGTCGTGCAGGATGATGCTTTATTTCGTATTGATCAAGTCTTAAAACGGAAAGGCAATCAAGTGTTTGTGTCTTGGAAAGGGTGGCCTAAAGAGTACAACAGTTGGAATTGGAAAAAAGACATGCAAGTACTATGAATGAATTTCGACTGACCCTGATCAGTCAAAATATCCTCAGCTACCGTCTCATCCCTATAGTCCTCATAGGGCCCCTACACAAAAATCTATAAATAGAGTTACCTTAAAAAAATTCATTTGTCTCTAAAGGTGAAAGAAGAAACAACATGCCCTATAAATATGGAAAAGTGTGCCCCATCTGTGGGAAACCCGACATTCTTAAACTCAGTGATCATTTACGGCAAGTCCATCAACTCTCAGTGGAAAAACGTCAACCGTATCTAAGAACAGCCCTATATTGCAATACGACAGACTCTTTTAGCCAGCATCATTTGGAGAGCTATCCTTACCCTAATTTCCAACTACAACATATGTTTAATATGATTGTGGTAGGACCAACTAAAAGCGGATAAACTCACTTAGTGAAGCAAATTCTAACCAAGAATTGTATACGGTACCACAGTCCAAGAAAGCCTCGTCAAATCTACTGGTTTTATAATCAATGGCAGGACGGTTATAAAACTCTACCAAAACAGCTTGGAAAGGAAATCAAGTTTATTCAAGGATTGCGTGAACTAAAAGAAAACATGAGCGATGATTAACGGGAAATTTCTACAGATCACAATAACATATTTGTGTTTGACGACCGGATGGGGGAAGCCGTCGATAGCCCTATTATATCCCGGCTAATTACCCGATTGCCCGCAACACTCAGCATATTGTCATGTTTCGCTGTCCCAGTGATCGTAAGCAGGTGGATATCTTAGCAGATCGCATGTTCGCAAAACATAGACCTAAATTTATGGATGTGTATGACCGCGACAATGAAAAGCCCTATGGTTATGTGTTGATAGACAATCAACCAGGAACCGTGAAAGAACGACAAGTGGTATGGGAAATTTTAGGGAATTGTCACGCTTATCCGAATATTATCCAATCCAGCGTACAAACAATGCAACCTACAAAACCTACTAAAGTCTCAATTAAGAGTCCTCAAGTGACAATTTCAAGAAAGCCTCCTAGCAAGCAACCTAGAGTATTACAAGAATAGGCAGCCTTTGAAGCGACTTATACCTCTGAGGGGGAGTACGAGTCTGAAAGCTCTGAGGGAGAGTACGAGTCTGAAAACGCTGAAGGAGAGCCATCTGAAAGCTGGGAGGGAGAGTACGAGTCTAAAAGCTCTGGGGGAGACTTGGAAGATTCTGACTGAGATATTGAACCTCCCATCTTCTCAAGACAGGGCAGTGGAAGACCAGGCGTTTTTCATTCAAATTAGTTCATTGAACCTTAAAGTAACAAAGTGGGACATCTGGCTTCTACCTAACCTAGGCCGCCCTTTTTCACTCTTAATAAAGTATTGAAATATAAATTGAAAACTGTTGTCTTATTAAAAAGTTCGTAATAAAGTATTGAAATATTAAAAACTGTTGTCTTATTAATACTAAGCATTCTTAAAAATTGAGAAAAGTTGTTAATTTATTTTAAAAAAAAACAGCCCTATTAAAAAAAATTCAAAAAAAAAAATGTCTCAAGTCTTTTTTCTACCAAAAAGAATTGAGATACGAATAAAAAGCGTTTGGAGAACTATTTTGAGAACCGGGTGGTAACACTGTATACGGCTCAGGGAAAGCTATATCCGTTAAGTCTGTGCTGTAAACGGTACTTGATTCTTGTGCGTCTGCGCTGTCAATAGTACTTGGTTCGTGCACGTCTGTGTTAGATTTAGACAAAGATAACGCTGTCATTGATTCAAGTCGTCCTTCCTCGGATGGTTCAGCTTCAGTAGATGCTTGTCAAGGCCTTGCAGTAGCATTTCTCCAATGTCCATAGGCTCTTGTCATACAGCCATCCTCAAGAATGAACCGTTTATCGTCAAACGGACTTAACGACTTTTTTGTCCGTTTAACGGTAAACAGTTGATGCCGTTGACTTTGAAAACCCATCATGGAATGCTGATATTTCCTGCGCTCTAACAAACAGTCTTTAAAGTCTTCAAGTCTGACCTCTTTTTTTAAGACACTTTTCTTGATCCCTTTGCCTGTCTTTTTCTCTTTTCCGCCCTCAGTCACCATCAAATACATTTTTGCTCGTAGACCAACCCACTCTCCGACTGGAAGGCCACCGGTCTCGTCTTTAAACTCCCCGATGACCTTTAAATTGGCTGAACTGTAGTAGAGTGGGTGCTCTCTTGGGTAATTGCTGGTGTCGAAGAGATCCTGATCCTCCAACATATCTTGGTACAGGTCGTCTGTCTTGATTTGGAAGGTCAAGCTGTCTGTGTCACTGAATAACAACTTTGCTTTCTCAGGACCATATTTAGCCATCATAACTTTGTAGTGAAAGTTATACATGTGTAACTTGGAGAGCTCTAAGACAATGAACCCCGTGTAGATGGGTTTATCCAACACCACCGAGGTGTGCTTCCTTTCAACCCCCACGAAATAGTCTTTCTTCTCCTCATCGTTGAAGAATACCACACTCGTCTTGTACGTCACTTTAGCCACGTGTTTCTTGAAGGTAGAAGGCTCAGTGACCAACTTGATGTTCACTCTCTCTCTTACATCCTCCAAGGTTTTGCCAAAGACCAAGTTGTTCATCAACTTAAAGAAATCTTTGTCAAAGTCAGTCTCAGCCTCCCGTCTCAGTTGAGTGTTGAGCTCAATATAGGGTTTCAGCCAGGCTTCCTGATTGAATTGCAGTACTCGGTGGATCTTAGTGAGTTTCATGCCTAAGGAGAGGAACTGTTTCAGGTTTCTGTAATGAATGACATACTTGCGCTTATTCCAGAGGTTAGGCACCAGTTTAGCTACTTTAGAGGGTTTGTACTCTAGTTCATCTTTCAAATTTAGCTGATAGGGAGCCAACATCTCTGGAGAGATTTCAATCTTTTCTGGAGCCAACGGGTAATCTGAGTGAAGGTCATAGAGTTCAGGTGGATATTCCAGGTCAACCTCTAAAATGTAACCAGTGTCAGCGTCATAAATGACAGTCGTGACATCCAAAGACGCTATCTCACGCTCAGGCATCCATTTAAAATCTCCAATAGGAAGTGGTTGCGACATTGCATGACCATATAAATTGTTTGCATCTTTATAAGTAATGAAAAAGGTAGGCTTCTCAGGGTCATAGTCCTGCAGGTACTTGTTGATTGCTTTAGTGTACCGAGGAGTAATCATGGAAATTCCGCCACGCATACCTTATTCAAGGAACTGATGCATCTCAATGTCATGTAGGGTTTCAAGCTTGACTTTTATAAACTTGAGAGAGGCAACCCATGCCAATCCTGGTACCGAGTAGTAGTGCGCAGGATTTAGCTTATAATTCTTGAGGCATACTTGACGGAACTGTTCAAAGATATCAGCCAAGAGCAGAATATCTTGATACAGGTAAAGATCATGATAATCCCCCAACGTGTTACAGCCCATCGAACTCCATACTCTTTGTGCAAACTCATACTTCTCTGAGGAAATGTCCTCCCAAGTTAGGTCATTTCGGAAGGCCTCTTTGGGTGGTAAGCAGGTTTCTTCAAAGACTTCAAAACTTTTGATGTGTGAATACGGGTACACCCCTTCTGACAGAGTAAATTCACATCTTCTGACTTATTGAAAGACCACACTTCTGAGAAATGCTGCTTTAGGTGAGGGAATTCTTTTAAGTTACTGGCTAAGGTGTCAAGACTCGAACCAGGTCCAAAGAATTGCAGTGAATCCAGGAACCTTAGGTTTCGCAACTGAAAGGACACGTACCGCTCCATATTATTCGGTATGACGTGAATCTTCTTCAACGATTCTCTGCCTTGTTTTCTTTAGTTGCCTTCTTGCCTGAATGGCGGTGAATCCCCTCCATGATGAGGTGAGCGTCATAGCCACGCAGCTTATGAAGAAACACAGGAATGTGGGTACTGCGTCGTTTGTTTAGGTTGCAAACAGCATGAGCAGCACCACGGTACTCGCCAGTTGCATGATTGTGGTCGCGTACTTTATGCCATTTTTCACTGTCCTCATAGAAAGGTTCTTCACACATATAACATTGTTTGCTAGCTTGGAATGCTGCTTTCTGTTTTTCGGTTATGTTCATCGGTTTCACTTCAAGTTGATAGGGAAGCAGTTCCCTTTCTAACGCTTGAAGACTTACAATCAATTCATCCACCACTTGCTCGCTGATGCCCTCCTGAGACATATCTAGGGGTTGGTCTGGAGCCGGTAGAGCATAGACCTTGACTCCACCTCAGGATGATCAGACACCAAGACCCAAGCCACACTACAGGGGATGTGCTTTTGCGTTTTTACACTCTTTCCGTTAACGCCTTCCTTCTTGGCCCATTGTGTGAACTTTATTTCCTGATCCACCATGGTTGTGGCTTGAACAGAGAAGTGCTGGCAGGTTTGAGAGTGCAAACACAGACAGTCGCTCCTCCAATACTTCCATAGCAGCATCCAATTGTTCCCTTAGTTGCTGAGGGTAGGTACTTGTAATAGCATGGGGTGTGCGAAAATGTGGTGAATACACCATTGGTTCACTACGGTATTTGCTAGGCATCGAGAGTGTACAGTGATACACAAGGTTCCACTTCAATCCTTTCTTTTCCGTGAGGACATCCTTCAAGCGTTGTTCAAGTCTCGGGAGGGTTTCTTTGAAAAAAAATTGTTGATCTGTTTTTTGACCTTCTGTTTTCGGAGAGAAAAACGCATTTACCTTAGCACCCTTCATGGTAGATACCTCTTTGTCAGCCGTAAAAAAATCCATCGACTTTTGCTGGGAGTTTCGTTTTCTTAGCCTCTTTTCCACTGTCATGCTTGAGTTTCCGCTTTGTATCTTTTTTATCATTATTTATAGCACCACCTACTTGGTGATAATGCTGTTGGTGGTGCTCCAGAGTGTATTTTTCGGGTAAAACATTTTCCACAGTCAATACACTTGAAAGGCTTGGGTTTTTCCTTTCCACAGTGTTCTTCATGGAGATGGAGAGCCATTTCATATTGAAAGGCGTTTTTACAGATGGTACAGCAAAATTTGTTTATGTACTGGGTGAGCCGTGTTGATATGCCGCTTTAGCGCATCACCTCTTGAAAACGTCTTGTCACGGTGAAGGCATTTTACACGATGTTGTTCTTCCCCACAGCGTTTCACATGCCGATGAAAGTGGGTTGAATCCTTGATCCAAACACCACACTTAGGACATTGCTTTCGAACTTTATCCATGACTCTATCAGAACTCAGAGATGCGAACACTCCAGCAGTCTGAAATGAAATGAGGTCTCCATTAAGACCCACCCTTTTATACTTTTATTTTTAGAACCGGTTCAAAGCGGTTGAAAGCGGTTCAAAATGATCCTATGGATCCTATAGATTGATGTTTCATACATTTTACTATAACGGACCGCAGAGGAAACACATTTTTCTTTTCGTAAAACGCTACTTATTGCATGAATAATATGATAAACGATTTGAAGGGTAATAAAATACACAAAGTTTGAGTGGGAGGTCTAAGAACAGCAATTAATTTAACCAAATAGCTACAATGAGGGACAAAAGTGTTGGCACACTTCCGTAAAATGGCCCCTTTTTGCATAGTGGATATACTTATCCCATTCCCCTGTCTACCCCAACCCCTTCCCCCCCAAAATCAATGTTGAATTTTGGACCCTCAAGTCTTTTTTTTACTTCAGACAACATTGATTCGGGGGGTGAGGGGATTTACGGCGTTTAAAAAGAATGAAATAATAGATGAATTAAATGTTTGCTAAAAGCACCCGTTTTAAACAAGTGTGTCAACTACTTTTGTCCCTGATTGTCTGAAATATGTATCTGTGTTTTCCGGCTAGATTTTTGACGCTGCTGAATTTTTGTGCGATGACGTTACTCTATGGGCCAAATTGTTTTTTTTAGAAACAACAATTTGTAAAGTTTCGTCCTGATTTGTAGTATACGTAGAGTAAAATGTACGAAGCGTATGTCATCACTTAATCTTGTACTTCCGCGCGCGTTCCTGATACCCTGTGGGGTCGAGAGGAAATCATTTGTGTTATGATCAATGCCGTTGCAGCGGATGTAATGTTTTCACAAGTATTATCAATAGTGGAAAAAGGATGGAAACACTAAGGTGCAATGGAAATTGTTCTGGTAAATGATTAACTTAAGCGAATGAAGTACTGCAGAGTAACTGAGGGGACATGCATTATTTTTGACATTGACTTGTGCCATTAGTGAAAGGACGTGAACAATATACAGGTTATGAACCTCATAAATGATGGGCCAGCCGTTTGTGCTATGTCCTATATATAGATGTGTGTTTTTTTTGGAGACCTTTTCAAACCTAAGTGATCCAAACCTTTAGCGTAGGTAGGCGTCGAACAGGTTAGACCAGGTTTTGGAATGTACTTTTGTAATGATTTTAGATGACCGCCTGCCATTTATTCAGTGGCATAATTTTTTTATTGATGTTGGATGGACAACTATTTCATTTCCCAGCTCGTAAATCACAGAATACCAAAGAAATTGTTTTCAAGATAGACACACCAGTTTGCGTCATCGCCAAAACAGCAATTACTTTTGCCCAGAAGTTCACTTGATGACAAGGAAAGCGGGATAACATGTGATCAATGACGGCCGTGCGCTGGAAAATTTTCCTTTTTTATGCGCTAATTCCTCACGAAAGGCAAAAGAAGATTCCGCTATGTAGAAAGTACTTCGCAATACGTATTCTTGGCAAGAAAAATTCCAGCGATGTGGTGCAAATAAGGAGTTTCAACGGTTAACCACGAGAATACATATGGACATTAAGAGGTCATAACAGACTCATTTTACTTTTCGTTTTCCGAAACGTGGTTAACCGTTGTAACACGAAGGAAGCAGTGTTTTCCTCAGTTTGAGCTGTCGTTTTCTTTGAGAGTCAAATACCAGTTCACGTTTCAAAGCTCTCTTTTCATTTTCTCTGCCGACAATAGACAAAAACACAGGGTTTCGCTTGAGAAATACAGTCCAAATACACAGACATATGCGCTCATGTCACGCTATTTGCGTTGCGTTATCATGTCACTCATGGTGTCACGAGGTGGGATTGAAAGTAATTGTTTTCGTGGACACTTGCAATGTTTGCTACGCTGTCCTTAGTTTTTTATTGAATTGGCCATGAATTTACCTTCACTTTTCCGTAGTTTCGATATTGAACGCAGTGACGGCCGCTCCGCACTAACGCTCCATATTTCCGTGGCCGGCCAGTGACTATCCCCACTACGTGTCAATCCTTACCCTACCCGTGATTGTTTGCGCCTTAACCATCGGATAAAGTGAAGAACGAGAAATATTCACTTTATTAAAAACATTTTCAGTACGCGTACCCTTGAAATTCATCAAAAGTTGTACATGTGCGCGAGTTTCAGCGTTAGTTTTTAGCTTGTAAACCATATCGACGTTAATTCTGGATATCGCAGCCCTTTTATTACGTCATCACGTAATTCCAATTGGCCCTATAATTCGGTCGTGAATAAGTCAATGTCACCCCCACCACCAATAACATAATTATGTCTTTGATTTCTTTAATTTCAGTTAAAATCAGTGTCATGCACGGCTCAACTTGTGTGCAGTAGCACAATTTTGCATTCAGACAATGAGGGACAAAAGTGTTGGCACACTTCCGTAAAATGGCCCCTTTTTGCATAGTGGATATACTTATCCCATTCCCCTGTCTACCCCAACCCCTTCCCCCCCAAAATCAATGTTGAATTTTGGACCCTCAAGTCTTTTTTTTACTTCAGACAACATTGATTCGGGGGGTGAGGGGATTTACGGCGTTTAAAAAGAATGAAATAATAGATGAATTAAATGTTTGCTAAAAGCACCCGTTTTAAACAAGTGTGTCAACTACTTTTGTCCCTGATTGTAGGTCGAACAGTGAGAAGCCAATGCATTCGATCGAAGTTAAGTCTACACAGTCAGAGAAACAAACCCAGCGAAGCGCTCTACAAAGTGATCAACTGAAAAGCAAACCATTCGATTAGAGGAAAGCATCATGGGACTGTAAGGCGTTGGAATTACCCTGACTTAAGAAAGTTAGTTGGGCAAGTCACTTTGGTAACAATTTTATGGAAAGTTCATGATCAGTGATGGCTGATATCCTGAATCGGAGCAACTTTTACTTTACTTTCTCTTATAATTTGTGCATTCTGTGACTTCTTTTTTGTCTGCATGTTTG